CGTGGGCTGCGGTGAGCGCGCAGGGGAACCAGGCAGGCAGACAGGTCCTGGGGCTGAATGAAGGGACAGTGGGGAGTGGGAGCTTAGAAGGGTGGGTGATACCCTGACCAGACCAGCGCCTGCTGCAGAGGACAGAGCCTCCGAGAAACAGAGGCGGGGCCCTGCAGGGCCCCTTGAGGGACCGGCAGGCATAGGAGCAGATGGGAGCCCGGGAGGAGAGGAAGGAGCTGGCAAGATGGTACAGGGACAACCTAGAGGTGACTGGGTGAGGACGGGGTGGTGCAGCCTCAATCTCTGAGGGGAGTGGGTTGGCATCCCAGCCCCCGTGGAGCCGGCCTGGGGTCTGCAGGGCCCAGGCCTCCCGCCTGCCACCAGCTGGCACAGGCCACCCTCTCCCTCGACCTAGGAAGTGAGGCCAGTGAGGGCCCTGCAGACCCAGGAGGCTGTTGCCTGGCTCTCAGCCAGGACCGTTAGGTATGAGGAGTTGGCCCTGGGCTCACTGGCTCACACGGCCTCCCCCAGCCAGGGGTGCTGCATGAGGGGCCGCAGGGGCGACCGCATGACCATCAACATCCAGGAGCACATGGCCATCAACGTGTGCCCCGGGCCCATCCGGCCCATCCGCCAGATCTCTGACTACTTCCCCCGCCGGGGACCAGGACCTGAAGGGGGCGGCGGGGGCGGTGGGGAGGCCCCCGCCCATCTGGCCCCACTGGCTCTGGCCCCCCCTGCAGCCCTCCTTGGGGCCACCACGCCTGAGGATGGTGCAGAGGTGGACAGCTATGACTCGGATGATGGCAGTGAGTCTGGGGGCTTGGAGGCCCCACATGCCGGTGGGCGTCTCCAGGCTTGCTATGGGGGGTGGGGGGATGAGCCATGCTGGGTGTGCATGTAGGGGAGGAGGGCATTGGGGGGGGGTGGCAGGGATGGCCAACACAGCTGCAGTCGGCGTGGAGATTACAGCTTCAGCAAGACTCAATATTCAATATTTCTGCTGAGACACTCCACCACCCACACAGCCCCAGTTGCGGCTGAGCCAGGGACCCAGACACACACACGCACGGGCCCACTCAGCCTCTTGCACACACACTCACAGGTGGGCAGAGAGGGAGACACACACAGCCAGTGCCTGCCTGCCGGCCTCTCGCACACGCCTGTCTCCAAACAGACCCACGCTGCCTTTCCTCTCTCTCCAGCCGCCCTGGGCACGCTGGAGTTTGACCTTCTCTATGACCAGGCCTCTTGCACTCTGCACTGTAGCATCCTCAGGGCCAAGGTGGGCACTCCCTGCCTCCCCAGCCCACGTGCGGTCCCCAGAGGCGTGGGTTTCCATCCCTCCCTTCCCAGGCCTGCTCCTTCCTCTCACCCCTGCACCCTCCTTCTGGGCCCCTCCAGGGTCCAGCTCTACAAGAGGGAGGGAGAGAGGTGCCGGGAGCCTCCAGCCCTCTCTCCCCTCCCCTCCGCTCCAGGGCCTCAAGCCCATGGATTTCAATGGCCTTGCAGACCCCTATGTCAAGCTGCACCTGCTGCCTGGAGCCTGTAAGGTAATAGCTTCTTCTCCCTCCCAGCCCGCTGCCCATGCCTTCAGCTGCCCTGTGGCTGGAGGACAGGTATTTAGAACGTTTTATCCCCACACCCCAGGCCAATAAGCTAAAAACGAAGACTCAGAGGAACACGCTGAATCCTGTGTGGAATGAGGACCTGACATACAGCGGGATCACGGATGACGACATCACACACAAGGTTCTCAGGTGAGGGCCCCCTTCCCTGCCACCCAGGATCCAGGTCCAGCAGCAGCTCGGGGACAGCTGTCATTGTAACCACTGGTTGATCTATATCCCATGAAGCCCCTATCTCTCTGATGCTCAAGAACCATCAGTGGCTCCCTATCCCCTTTGGCAGCAGGCCAAAATATTTCCCTGCCATTCCTGCCCCCCAAATATCTCCTGCAGGCAGGGCATAGTGGCCCACACCTGTAATCCCAGCACTTTGGGAGGCCGAGGTGGGCCGATCACTTGAGGTCAGGAGTTGAGACTACCCTGGCCAACATGGTGAAACCCCGCCTCTACTAAAAACACAAAAGTTAGCTGGGCATGGTGGCATGTATCTGTAATCCCAGCTACTCGGGAAGCTGAGGCAGGAGGACTGCTTGACCCAGGAAGTGGAGGTTGCAGTAACCAGAGATCATACCACTGCACTTCAGCCTGGGTGACAGAGCGAGACTCTCAAAAACAAAACAAAACAAAAACAAGTATTTCCTACCTCTCAAACAGAGGACTCCCTTCCAACTGACCAGTTTCACAACTCCTGCTTTTCCTGTTCTGTTTTTTATTTGGAAAGCTCCTCCTGGCTAGCCTAAATTCCACTCATCTGGGGCTCAGTCCAAGCTCTGCCCACTCCTGAAAGTGTACCTGGGTCGCTGAGACCCCTTCTCAGAACCCTGCAGCTTTGGTCTGCCCCTTCTGTGCCCTGAGTTCCCTTAAAATCTCTAAGGAGTGAAGTCTTCAGGGACAGGGAAGTTACTCCATCACCCCAGGAGATGGAGATGTGGGGAGAGTATTCCCTCGAGTCAGGCAGTGGGCAGCAAAACCCAGGCTCCAGAGAGACCTCTGCCTTTGTGCTTAGATCTGCAGCCGGGACCCTTCCCTGATGGTCAGGGCTGTGTGGCGGAGAGGCCACCTTGGTGTCGGGTATGTGGGTGGAATGGAAGGGAGGCCAGAGGCCGGAACCAGAATGAACCTCAAAATGACTGAGCACTCCCCAGTGCCCAGCCTGGACTAAGCATTTTCACCTTTCTTTCCCTTGATTTTCTCCATTTTACAGATGGGAATTGAGGCATAGGGAGATTAAGTGACTTGCCCCAGGTCACACGGGTGGCTCAGAAGTGGCAGGGCTGGGATGTGCCAGCCCTCCATGCCACAGATGGCCGATGTGGCAGTGGGTCACAGCAGAGGCAGAGCAAGCGCTGTGGGAGGATGGGTGGCCGGAGAACAGTCATTTCTTAGTCGCTGGGCTCATGAATCCCTGCGGGGCTGGCTCTGTGCCGTATGCAGGGAAAGGACAGGCGTCCTGAGGAGGCATGGGATCCTTGTCTGGCTGCCCAAGGCTCCAAGGTCCTTCTAGCTCTCATGGCCTGTGTCTGTGGCCACATCTACCTTGGTGTTCGGCTTCTGCCCCCAGGCCCTGAATGGAGGCAGTGAGCGGTGCTCCAAGATTTCTGAGGGCTTCCCGAAGAGGCTGAGCAGCTCCTGAGGGACCAGGGACAGCTGGATGGCTGCTGAGGGAGGGACAGAGGACCGGGCAAATCTGCTTGTCCTTCTCAAGTGCCAGCCCGTCTTCCAGATGAGACGGAGTGTTTAGGGCAGAGCTGTGCTGGTCGGAGGCCCTTCCTCCAGGCTGGAACAGGGCTCAGGTACCCCTGGGGTACTGACACTGCCGTTCCCCCCCAGGATTGCCGTGTGTGACGAGGACAAGCTGAGCCACAATGAATTTATTGGGGAGATCCGAGTGCCACTCCGCCGCCTCAAGCCTTCGCAGAAGAAGCATTTTAACATCTGCCTCGAGCGCCAGGTCCCGGTCTGTGTGGGGGGTGGGCTGCAGGGGTGCCAGAGGAGGGGGCCCTGCAGGAGTGCCGGAGGGGAGGCCAGGGTTCCAGAACCTTCTCTTTGCTTCCTCAGCTGGCGTCCCCCTCTTCCATGTCGGCAGCGCTGAGGGGCATCTCCTGTTACCTGAAGGAGGTGAGGCACCTCACAGGGACAGAGATGCATGTGGGTGGGAGGCGGTGCGGGCCCAGGCTGACCCTGCGCCTGTGCCCTGCAGCTGGAGCAGGCAGAGCAGGGGCCGGGGCTGCTGGAGGAGCGTGGCCGCATCCTGCTGAGTCTCAGCTATAGCTCGCGGCGCCGGGGACTGTTGGTAGGCATCTTGCGCTGTGCCCACCTGGCTGCCATGGACGTCAACGGTTACTCGGATCCCTACGTCAAGACGTGAGCCCTTGCGCTGAGCCTCTCCTCCCCTGGGAGCCTGCCCCTGCCCGAATTGGGCATGGCCTGTCCCTGACCCCTTGGTTCCTCTCCCTCCAACACACTCCCAGGTACCTGAGGCCTGACGTGGACAAGAAATCCAAGCATAAGACGTCTGTGAAGAAGAAGACTCTCAACCCAGAATTTAACGAGGTACCCGGGTGGGACTGGACGCAGAAGCAGGCCAGGGAGGGGCTGGGGGGCTGAGGAGTCAGCTCACGAATGGGCGGCCGGCCTTGTCCCCAGGAGTTTTTCTACGAGATAGAGCTCTCCACTCTGGCCACCAAGACCCTGGAAGTCACAGTCTGGGACTATGACATTGGCAAATCCAATGACTTCATCGGTGAGGGATGAGCTCGCTGTGGGTGCCGGGAAAGGGTGAGTGCCAGGGAGGTGGCCCTGACTCCACCATTTGCTCCCCCAGGTGGCGTGTCCCTCGGGCCAGGTGCCCGAGGCGAGGCCCGTAAGCACTGGAGCGACTGCCTGCAGCAGCCGGATGCAGCCCTGGAGCGCTGGCACACCCTGACCAGCGAGCTGCCCCCTGCGGCCGGTGCTCTGTCCTTAGCCTGAGTGGACAGCAGTGCCCTGCACAGGCCCATCGGGCCGGGCCCAGTACCCAACCTTCGCACGAGTGTGTTGCACGTTTACACGGGGTGGGCGGCCCCCACTCTGCACTACCTGTCTTATTTTTGTGAGTCTCAGTGACCCAGGTCTGTCTGCTCGTGAGGGGCTGTGGAGTTCTATATTCACATATGCAAACCTCCTGCCTGACTCGCTAGTCCCTGCAAATATGCAAACACCCCATCCTCTGCATACCTGGGCAGTGCTCAGAGCCCGGCCCCAGGCCCTTGAGCTCCTCACTCCGGCCTCTCCACGCTGCCCCGTCCCTCTCCCCCGACAGGGAGGAGGTCGGATTAGGGGAGGTTCAGAGGAGGAGAATGTCTCAAAAAAAAAAAAAGAAAGAAGACAAAAAAAACCAACCCAGAGCCACTCCTTTAATACAGAAACTTCATTAAAAAACCTAGCCCCGTACAGCTGCCCTTTTAAAGGGGTGGCGATCGCAGCGTCTCTGCCTCTCCAGCAGGTGGCAGATGCTCCCAGCCACTCGTTTAACTGTCCCCTGGATGGGGCCAGGGTTTGAAGGCAGGGCCCCTGCCACCCTCCTGGGGGACACCCGTGCATGTTTACGCCTTTTCTGGTTGTGTCAGTAGCCGGAGCATGGCAGCTGGGTATCAATAAACACCTCCGGGAAGCTGGGCTCGTGTGTGCTGCACTGGGAGGCGCCGGGTGGGGCTGCGGTGGGCGTGGTGCAAGGTTGTAGTCACTCCGGGATGTCGATCACCAGGTCATCATCCCCATCTAGGGCATCGTCCCCGCTACCTGCGTCGCTGAACATCTGCCGAGGGACTGTGCTCAGGATCGTGGGGGGGGGCATCTTGGGGGGCGGGAGGGGGGTCAGGGCTGTCCCGACCCCGGCCCCAGAACCCCGGCCAGGGAAGGTCAGCGGCCCTCCCACAGGGCAGTCAGGGGGTCCCACCGCCATCTGCAGCAGGGGGAAGAAACACAGGGGGGCTAGTCAGGGAGGCACTGGGGCCTCAGGGGACCGGGCCCTGCCCCCCAGGGCAGCTCTGGGGAAAGGGAAGGGGCCCTGGGCACAGCCGGGCCAGCCAATGTTGCACTCAGGGTCTGCCCACCCTCAGCCCCTCAGGAAATTCAAAGCAGCAAGTGCCTGGGGGTGGTGATGGACGTGAGATGAGGGGATGGGGGTGTCTCACAGGAAACCGGGAGGGAAAGGCCCGGCCCTGCCCTCTCTAGGGAGGCGCCTGGGCTGCCCTGAGGCGGGTTAAGCCAGAGGCGGAGTTGGCCTGGAGTGCCTGCCTGCCTGCTGCTGGGTCCCAAAGGTGCCACCTGGTGCCACCTGCCGTCACCGGCTTCCTCTCCCTCCTCCTCCTCTTCTGCGGGACTCACTGGTTCAGTGGAGGGTATCACAGGCTGCCTGAGCCTGGAGCCCTGGCGGCTTCTCTGCCCGTTATGTCTTGGATGGGCCCCTCCTCGGGATCCCCGCAGCCATGGCCTAGGCCCAGCCCTCCTCTCGGCTCACCTGGGCTGCGGTCCCAGCCTCCTAACTGGACTCCCTGCCTGCAGCCTCTCCCAGATCCAGCTCCTCCGCACTGCAGCCAGAGCACGAGCTCTAAAACACAGACCTGAGCGCGTCACCGCGCCACTCGGGGCCTCAGGACGGAGTGCCGCCTGCCAGATGACAGGTGGCCCCTCCACCTGGGCATCCTGCTCTATTTGTCAGAAGTCCTTTGTCCTCTGAGGCTGGGATGTGACCTGCCCAACTCTCCATCCCCCCACTGCCAGGTCCTCACAGACCCTCCCCAGAGAGCTCTATGGGTCTCCTCTGCAGTCCCCATGCTTTGTCTGTGGGCACAAACTGGGCACCTGCTGTGTGCCAGGTGGTTTCTGTTAATGCCTTCCTAGCTTCAGGATACTGGGGAGCGGGAAGAGGTCAGCTGCCAGCAGAGGAGGCTGAGCCTGGCATGGACACGGAGGTGCTGAAGCACAGTCCTACTGAGTCCTGAGGGGCAATGTCCAGTCTGGCCCTGGGCTAGGTGCTGGGTGAGCTGGCAGGAAATGCCATGCGTGGTCTCCAGTGGCCCTTCTGAGTGTCACATTTGGCCCTGTGGCCTCTTCTTTGCTTTCTAAGGAGTCCCCACCCTCACCTCTGCTCCTGGGGTGGCATGAGAGCCAGGGTGGGTTAGGCCTCAGGATATAGGAGGCCGGCAGGATGGACAACAGATGGGGGCCCAGCTCTGAACAGCACCCCCTTGCCCTGTCCCAGGCCGCCTGTGTGTACATGAGTACACACAGGAGCAGGCGTGCATGCTCGACTGGAAAGCCTGCTGCACGAGGACCGTCCCCCTCCTCTGCCTACCACCTCTCCTTCCCCGCTGTGCGCAGCACATCCCACCCTGGCCTGGACTTCCTCAGTGGCATCCTCAGCCTGACTGGCAGCAGCTCACAATTCTCTGTGGCTTACTAAGGGCCAGGCATGGGGCCAGCGCTTTTCATCCCTTCACTCACTTTCTCTGCACAACGACACTAGTGAATGGAGAAGAAAACTATGGCTCCAGGCATGAAATGACACGCCGAGGTCCCACAGTGAGTACTGGAAGAGCTGGGACTCAAACCCGGCCAAGTCCGACTTAGGCCTGACAGAACCAACCTGCTTCTGTCTTCACAGCTGTCCTTCCTCTGCTTTAACTCCCTTCCTTCTATCTCCTCACACCAAGTCCCCCAGATCCTTCAGGGACCCCCACTCCCCGGAGAGTCACAGGCAAACTCCCATTTCAGATGGGTGTCTAGGCCTTCCATGACCCCGCCCCACCCGGTTCATCTTGCTAAGGTCGTGTCTCTTACCACTCCTGCTCTGGCCCAAGCTGCACTGTTACTGTGCCCGTCTCCCTTCCCACCATGGCCTCAGCCGGGAATATCCAAATCCACTCACCCGGGGCTCACACTTTCTCCTCGCTGAGGCCTTTCCTGGCTTCTCCCTGCCTCCCTGCACAGCCATGGACCTGAGCTGCCCTCCCAAACCTTCTCTCCAGAACATCCAGAACTTTGCTCTAGGAAGAGACTCCACTTTAGGACTCAACGCCCAGCCAGAAAGCCTCAAAGTGCCCCCCATGCCATGCCAACCCCACCCTGCCTGCCACCCCCCTGCTAAGAACCAGGGCCAGTACTGTCACCTCTGCTTCTCAGGCTCAAGAGGTAAAGTCTCACAGGGCCAAGGTCACACAGAGAAAAGGGTAGAGTTGGGATTCGAGCTCCAGATCCCGCACTCCAGACCACCGCAAACGCGGCCTCATTCTGCTTCTGGCTCCAGAACCTGAGAGCTGCCCAGCTGGTCCCCACTCAGCTCGGCCCCTCAGCCCATCCCCATCTCTCCTAAGGCTTGCATCTACTGCCAGCCTGGCGGCTTCCAAATGCGCAGCCTGGCGGCTTCCAAATGCGCAGCCCCTCACGGGCCACTGTCTAGCTGCTTTCCAGATGGTAACTGATGCGTCTGCGGCCAGACTCAGCTTCCCTCCAAGCCTGTGCTCCCACAGCACTCCCATCTTGAGGGAGGGTGACTCCACTCATACTCAGGCTACAGCCCTGCAGGCATCCTGGCCTCTCTCCCGCACAGCCCACACCAGGTCCTCCAGGAACTCCCGAGGCTCATTCTCTGAAATGGGTCTGCAGTCCCCTCTGGACCTTCTGCCTGGTTTACCGAGGGGGCCTCCTCACTCCCATCCCGACTCACCCCACCGCTCACCCAGTCTGTTCTATGACCACTGGTATCTGAAATTTAATTAAGATGCAATGAGATCAGACTCCCCATGCCTGCAACCTGTGCCCTGCCGGGGAACTGCCCTCTCCAAGGCTTCATTCACAGTGAAGCCTGCTCAGTGGCACCTCAGGAGCTCCCGCCACTGACCTGCTCCAGGGCCCATGTCCCTGCTGACTTTCCTCCCTGACACAGACTCCTTCCAGATCCTGCAACAAGCCCAGCTCGCACCCTCCCAGGGTCTCTGCCCGACAGAAACATGGCCCAGGAGCGACACGGCGTGGTCATTTCCTGTGTCTCTGATCAAAGAACATCCCAGACTGCTGGGCCCAAAGTGTCAGCTTTGTCCCCGGGGGTCCCCACACTTCGTACTTCACTCCGTTCTTCTCCACACGTACCTATTTTTCTAGTATGTTTTCTGCCTATCTTGCTAGAATGTGAGCTCCATGAGGGCAGGGACTGGTCGGCTTTGTTCACTGCCACTATCTGCCACAGCCGGGACAGTGTGTGGCCCATGGGAGGCACTCCAGGGGCACTTGTTGGTCACATCAAGTGGGACCACTCGCCCTACAGGTGCCAAGTCTAGGAGGCGTAGAGGGTAGCAGAGACCTGCTCAAAGCCACGTGGTTTCTAACGGGCAGTCTTGACTTGACTCTAGAGCCCATAATCCTGCCCCCTGGGGCTGCCGGGCATCACAGAACATGCCCACCTGGGGAAACGAGCCTGGCCCCGCTACGCTGCAGCCGTGAAAGGGCAGATCCCCGGCATTGACACGCGGGGTCCCCCAAGGCTGGTTCTGCCCTGATCTGTCTCCACACGGGCCTGTGAGCTGGGACTCCTCTGGTCCACCTCACAGTGCAGAGCGATGGCTGGATCCCCTGCAGCCCCAAATCAACCGTTCAGGGTTCTCTGACAGGACCCCACCTTGAGCCTCCCTCAGGTGGCTGTCCTCCTGCCGTCCTGCCCCTCCCTAGCGCCCCCACGTCAGGGTACCTTGAGTTTCCGGGGCAGGCGGGGCCGTTTCTCCCGCTTGGGCCTCAGGGGGCTGGGCTCAGGCAGCTGCAGGGCCAGGTAGTCAGAAGGGAATGAGGGGTAGCGGGGGGAGGCCAGCTGTGGGCAGGAGTAGGGATGGAGATGGGAGGCGGAGTGGACAGGGTGAGGGTTGGGGGAAGAAATGCAAACAAAAGGAGGATGGAAAAACAAAAGAGATGGTGATGAGTGTGGCTCCCGGGGCTCCCGAGCACAGAAGTGGGGGCAGCAGCAGGACGCTGTCCTGGACTCTGCTCTCCTCAATCACGCCTGGCCCCGTTCCTACACCAGAGAGAAGGGGGCAGCCCCCACTCACACCCTCCATGGGACACTTGCTGGCCACACCCAGACAGATGTCCCCAGAGTTGGGCTGACCTTGCCCCGAGGCCCAGCCCTTCTGCCCAAATGACGCCACCTTACTCCCAGGCATTTTGGTTCGACAGTTCCCACCCCTGACCCCAACTCACCGAGCTCAGGTATGGGGAGGGGACCCCGGAGGCCTGAAGGGGAAACCCTGTTGAAGGAGGCAGGGAGAGGCTGGAGGGAGAGGGGGCCCCCCCCAGCGGAGGGCTTCTCTTCCTGGAGAAAGGACAGGAGGGGTCAGAGGTGGCTAGGAGCCCAGGCAGTCCACCTGACCCTCCCCAGCGAGAGGAATGCATCTTTTTCTCACCTCTTAGGGGCTGGAGTGTCAGATAACTTGGGTGTCCCCTCTGTCTCGCTGTTATCTGATGATGCAGTGGCATCTGAGTCTGTTACAGGAACAGCTAGTCAGTAAGGGTGGGGGAATCCCAGTCCATCCCAGAAGGGTATAACCTCTTCTACACTACAGGAGGGCACCAGAGGACCAAGCATGGAGATCACGCCTGGAATCCCAGCACTGTGAGGGGCCAAGGTGGGCAGACTGCTTGAGGCCAGGAGTTCAAGAGGAACCTGGACAACCTAGCGAGACCTCATCTCTACTAAAAACAAAAACAATTATACAAGCATGGTGGTGTGTGCCTCTAGTCCCAGCTACTCAGTAGGCTGAGGCAGGAGAATTGCTTGGAGATCGAGGCTGCAGTGAGCCATGACCATAACACTGTATACCGGCTTGGGAGACAGAGCAAGACCCTGTCTCAAAAAAACCAAACAAACCAAAAACCCAACAGAAGGGCCCCTGGGGGAATCTGACTCACCAGCTGATGGGCACGTCCACGCACACACACACCCATGCCGTCCCAGGGAGGTCCACAGCCTCTCAAGCCTCCCCAGCCTCCCTCCCGCTCTCATTCCTCCACGACACACCTGCCATGCATGGCCAGGGTGCCAGCCTCCTTCCCACTTACCACCTCTCCTTGTCATCAGACCATCCAAGGAGGATGGAAAGGGCAGTACCTTCACTTGTCACATGAGGTCACCAAGGCTCAGAAGGTAAGGCATGACACTGCAACTCCAACCCAGGTCTGTGACTCCCTGGCTATTTGATGCCACTCATTCCTTGCCTCTGAGCAGAGCCGTCTTCAGCTCCTGCCTCAGCTCCACTCTCCATAACCAAGGCCTGTTCACCCACCCCTCATCCTCTCCTTCATCTACTACTCCTCAGGCTAGCTGCCACAGGTCAGGCCACCAGCATGTCAAAAATCACCTGCTGAGTAGTCTCACCTCACTCTGCCACCCACGGTCCAACTCCAACTCCAGAGTAACCAAAAACCGACCTGGTCACATCCTTCTTGATGATATGCCCCACTAACTGGATGAATTCTTAGTGCTTCTTAATCTGGCTTCAACATATCTTTCTGGTCAACTAACATAACTGTACTGTTGTCACCACAACCTCCACCTCCCGGGTTCAGGTGATTCTCCTGCCTCAGCCTCCCAAGTAGCCGGGTCTACAGGCACTCGCCACCACGCCCAGCTAATTTTTCTATTTTTAGTAGAGACGGGGTTTCATCATATTGGCCAGGCTGGTCTTGAACTCCTGACCTCATGATCCACCTGCCTCCGCCTCCCAAAGTGCTGGGATTACAGGCGTGAGCCACCGCGCCTGGCCCATAACTGTATTCTTTACAGCACACTGACCTATTTCCTTAAAAAAGAAATGTATTTCCCTAGTTCAGTGCTTCTGCCTAGAGGGGCCATCTTTCACTGAACAAACGACTGCTACGCATAGAAGCTGTTGCCAATGCCTCTGCTCAGATAGACCCTTTAAGGAGCAGATTAAATGCCACCTCCTCTTAGGAGTCTTCTAGAATCCCTCAAGCCCAATTAACTGCAGGCTCTCCCAGAACCCTCTGCTCTCATTTGTCATGGCTACCCCCACACTGTGCTGAAGAGCATCGTTTGTATCTTCCTGACCAAGCTGTAAACCTCCATGACAGGAGTGGGGCCCACATCGCTGGCTCTTCCTTCTCAGATGCCACCCACTCTGGCCATGAACGTGCTGGATTCTCTCCTACAAGGCAGGAGCCCTGAAATCCCCTCAAATAGGATGTTAACTGGAAGCCCTTAGGGAAGGGAGAGGCAGGGGATGAGAGGCTACAGTAAGAGCCAAACCTCCTACTATGATCTACCTGAGTGGGCCCCTGCCTATTTCCCTAACCTCATCTTCAAGTACTCCCAGAGCAAGCAAATGTGTATTATGTGTTCCAACAAAGCACTATGACCCAAAACTTGGCCGGCTGCTACATGCCGGTCCCTGCCTCAGACCAATGTTCAAAGGCACTGTGGAGAGGTGATTCTACGTGACGTGGCCTATGAGGGTCCCACCCAGGAATAGGCCCACAAAGGCCCAGCTCAGGGATTTTTCAAACTGTGGGTCTCAATCCATTAGTGGAAGTCATGAAATCAATGTATTGGTTTGCAACCACACTAAAAGAAGGGAAAAAAAGCAGTCTAAAAAGTATCAGGTTTAGGTGAAGTCTTCCTAAGGCAAAAAAAAAAAAAAAAAAAAAAGGTATCCAGATGAACTGGTACAGTGATCTTAAAAATGTTTTGGCTGGGTGTGGTGGCTCATACCTGTAATCATTAGCACTGTGGGAGGCTGCGGCAGGTGGATCACAAGGTCAGGAGTTTGAAACCAGCCTGGCCAACATGGTGAAACCCCATCTCTATTAAAAATACAAAAATTAGCTAGGCATGCTGGCAGGCACCTATAATCCCAGCTACTTGGGAGGCTGAGGCAGGAGAATTGTTTGAACCCAGTAGGAAGAGGTTGCAGTGAACCATGATCATGCCACTGCACTCCAGCCTGGGCGACAAGAGCGAGACTGCATCTCAAAAAAAAAAAAAAAAAAAAGTTTTGTTAAACTTTGTTTTGTAGCTATGTATATTGAGCCCTGGTCATGATGTAAAATATAGTTAAATGCAGACAATACTCAAATAATGGGAGGAAAACAGTGCTGTTTTTTATCCCTCTGCTCTTCAACCAAGCCCAGCTCAGGGTACCTGAATGTGTTATTCCTCCAGGACAGCTCTAGCTTACTTCTTCACAAGGTTGGTTTATTTTTTTTTTGAAACAGTCTTGCCCTGTCTCCCAGGCTGGAGCACAATGGCACAATCAAGACTCACTGCAGCCTCAACCTTTCAGGCAAGGGATCCTCCTGGTTCTGCCTCCCAAGTAGCTGAGACCACATGTGTACACCACTATGTATGGCTATTTTTTTTTTTTAATTGACACGGGGGTCTCACTAGGTTACCCAGGCTGGAAGGCTGGTTTCTTAATCTGGTCCCAACTCAAGAAAGGCCTTTCTTGAGTACTCTATTCAGACAGTGCCTGCTGTCTGCTTGTGTAGTCTGCAAGCTAAGAATGGCTGTTTAACTTTTAAACGGTTGAAAAAAAAATTTTTTTCATGTGAAAATAATAGGAAATTCAAATTTCCGTGGCTATAAAGTTGTATAGAAACACAGCCATACTCATTTATTTGAATCTGGGCTATGGCTGCTTTATACTATAACAGCAGAATTCAGTAGATGCTTCAAAAATTGTATGTTGCAGAAAGCTTATTTACCATCTGGCCCTTTGCAGAAACAGTTCGTTAACCCTTGTTCTGCTACAATCATTACCACACAATTCTGTTATCATTATCTTCTAGTTCTTACCATGACCTAAAATTCTAGTCTATTTCTTCATTTACTTACAACTAGAATATAAATTACAAGAGACCAAGGGCTTTGTCTATTTTTTCCCCCGCCGGTATCCCCTGTGCCAAGCACAGTGCCTGAAACACAATAGGTGCTCAGGAGGTGGAAGGCAGGCAACTAGGCTTCAGATCCACTGGAGGCTCCATCAGCCGCCACTGCCTAAAAGGTGGGGGCCCAGGAAGCTTGCTAAGTGCCAGGAACCATGCCCTCCACCAAATTTTCAAGAACTCGCTCACCTGAAGAGTCTTCGTCCACGTTCTCATACTGCAGAAGTCGGTCTAGGAGGAAACTGAGGGGAAGGCAGAAGAGGGGAGATGGACAGTGATTTCCCAGCGAAGCAATGTTCTCCTGGGCCCCTGTCCCTCCTAGCTGGCCCATGGGATCCCTGAAAGAGTCCATGCACTTGTGGCCCTACTCGGGGTTGGGGTCCGAATGTAGATCGCTAGGAACCACATCGCCCCCCGCCCCTGCAACGTGCCTTACCTCTTGTCCCGGGACACCTTGAGTAATTTCCTCTGCGCTTTCCTCAGCTCCTCCTGGAAGCACTCGTGCTCCTGCATCAAGGGCAAGGGGGGCGCTGGGCCAACGGTCATCCGCGAAGGGCCCCGGAACCCCGCGGCCGCTCGCCCCACCCGCTTTACACCTGAGATCTTGTCCACGCCAGGCCTCACCCCCCACAACCTTCCCGTGGCAGCACTCACGTAGATGAGGAACTTGAGCTTCCGCTTCAGATTCCTGTATTTCTTTTTGTAGTCCACTTCGCCGTCCGCCGGCCCGTTCATGACCGGCCCGGGAGCGGCAGCCAGCTTCTGCAGTTCCGCTACCCAAAGCCTGGGCTGCCCCGCCGCTCACGCCTACACTTCCGGAGACTCTGTAAGGCTGTGCCGCCGGAACTACAACTCCCAGCGTACCCCGCGCCCAGGCGGAGTTACGGCAGGAGCGGCCCTCCCGGCGGGGGGGGTATACTGGGAAAGGAATGCGGAGGCCAGTGGCTGCGCTGGGGATGGCGTAGCAGCGACGCGGTGACGCCACAAAGATGGCGGACGCTGGAAGGCTGTTCCTTACTCTAATGTGCTTAGATACTTGAAGCCACAAAAAGATTTTCCCCCGAGGTTCCTCGTCTCCTGGCGAGAAGGCCTTTTCTTCTGCCTTGTGAAATAACGGCGGCCTAGCTGGTGCCCATGACCGGAAAGAAAGGTAGTGTCGCGGGCTGAATACACCCAAAGGGTGCCGGCGCCGAATCAGTTTCTAACGAGAACTTTTAAAACGATTCGTTATAGGAAAGGGTAGGAGCCGCGAGACCCTCTAACTGCCCAGGGAAAACAAGTCTTGTCCAGCAAAGTTCTTGGCTCAAGCGGTCCCCGGCCCAACGGTCCCTCGCCCCACGGTGCCGCAGCACAGCGCGTGCGCGAGCCGCTGTCAAACGCGCTGACGGAGGCCGAGAAAAAAAAAAGGCGGGAGCCGCCAATCCCGGATGGAGCAAAATGGCGCGGGAGAAGGAGATGCAGGAGTTCACCCGTAGCTTCTTCCGAGGCCGCCCGGACCTCAGGTGCTCAGGGGGTTGGAGGTGGGGTTGGAAAGGGCACGCGTGGGATGGGGACTCCGTCCTGACATCCTGTCCCCGCAGCACGCTCACGCACTCCATTGTGCGGCGGAGGTACTTGGCTCACTCGGGTCGCGACCACTTGGAGCCCGAGGACAAGCAAGCGCTGAAGCAGCTGGTGGAGGAGGAGCTGCTGAAGATGCAGGTGTGGGCCGGAGCCTGGGCCGCGGGAGGTGGAGGCGGAGGCGGGGCTTGCCGCCGAGGAGGAGGGGCCTGACGGGGCGCGGTGAGCGCAGCCTTGGTGCATAGTTCGCCCTCTTGGCGCACACACAGGTGGATGAAGCTTCTTCCAGGGAAGTCAAACTGGACTTTACCAAGAAGGGCAAGAGGCCTCCCACCCCTTGTTGCGACCCGGAGAGGAAAAGGTCCCGCTTCAATTCAGAGTCGGGTTAGTGCTTCCTCCCTGCTATGGGGGCCTTCTACATCGTTAGTGTTTCACTCAAGAAGCATTCACCTCGCATCTGTTATGTCCCCAGGTGTTAAATGAATGAGCGAGGCCAATGAGTCAGGAACCGGGACAGCGAGGACAGATAGCTGTTTCCTGCTGCCCCTCCCTCTGTCAGGGCAGCCCTCGAGACAACCTATCCGATGTGAAGGGAGAAGGGACAGGAGGAGCCTGTCTCAACTTTCTCTCCTTTCCATATTCCAGAGTCCGGCTCTGAAGCTTCCAGCCCAGACTACTTTGGACCCCCAGAAAAGAATGGGGTGGCAACAGAAGTCAGCCCAGCCAAGGAGGAGAATCCAAGGCGAGCCTCAAAGGAGGCAGTTGAGGAGAGCAGTGATGAGGAACTTTGGAGAGACCTGCCCGCACAGAGGGGAGGAGAGGAAAGCAGTGAGGAGGAGGAAAAGGGAGAGAAGGGGAAGACTAGGAAGAAACTTGTGGCAAAGAAGCAGGCATCAGGCAAGGTCTCAGTCGGTAGAAAGCAGGCCAGGGAAGAAAGTGAGGAGATCGACGAAGAACCCGTTCAGAGGACAGCAAAGAAGGTGGAGAGAAGCAAAGGAGCTAAAAGCCTGAAGGAAAAGGAACAGAAGAGTGAAGAGGAGGGGGAGATCCTAGCCAAGAAGAAAGAGCATAGAGAGGAGGAATCGGGGGAGGAAGAGAAAGAAGGGGAGGAGGAAAAGGAGAAAGATTGGAAACCCAGAGTCAGGAGCAATGGCAGGAGGTCAGGCAGGGAGGAGGGGAGCTGTAAGCAGAAAAGTCAGGCAAGGATGCTCATGGGAGACCCGGACAGCGAGGAAGAGGAGAAAAAGGCAGCAGGCAGTGGGGATGACAGTGGGAAAGAAGAAGAACCCCTAGTGCAGAGAAAGATCGAGGACAGGACCCAGCTTAAGGGTGGGAAGGGGTTGAATGGAAGCAGCGAGGACGAGGAAGACAGTGGGAAGGGGGAACCCACAGCTAAAGGCACTAGAAAGATGGCCAGACTGGGCAGCACCAGTGGTGAGGAGAGTGACTTGGAGAGGGAGGTGAGTGACAGCGAGGCAGGGGGAGGCCGCCAGGGGGAGAGGAAGAACAACTCTTCCAAGAAGAGCACCAGGAAAGGCAGGACAAGAAGCTCATCTTCCTCCTCAGATGGAAGTCCAGAGGCCAAAGGAGGGAAGGTGAGGTTGTGGAGGGCTGGGAAGCCACCACTGGGGAAGAGGGAGACCCTGTGTCAGGCCCAGCAGGCTTGGCCTTCAGCTGCTGCTCTTTCCTTGCCAGGCTGGCTTAGGTCGCCGTGGAGAGGACCACCCGGCTGTGATGAGGCTGAAGCGCTACATTCGGGCCTGTGGTGCTCATCGCAACTACAAGAAGCTGCTGGGCTCCTGTCGCTCACACAAGGAGCGCCTGAGTGTCCTCCGGGCAGAACTGGAAGCCCTAGGCATGAAGGGTGAGGCCAGGCATGCCTTGGGGGCTGCAAGAGAGGGCCTTCCTGCTGGGGAGGAGAGGATCACTAGCTTCTTCTGCTCCAGGTAAGCCTTCCCTAGAGAAGTGTCGAGCCCTGAAGGAACAGCGGGAAGAGGCCGCTGAGGTGGCTGCCTTGGATGTTGCCAACATCATCAGTGGCTCAGGTAAGGGGTTTCCTCTCACTGCCAGGAGCAGATGGGTGAGGTTGGTCATTCTCAGATATCTGATCTCTCATTTCCCCTTTCCTCTAGGCCGGCCACGCAGACGTACGGCCTGGAACCCTTTAGGAGCAGCAGCCCCTCCAGGGGAGCTATACCAACGGACCCTGAACTCAGAGGAAGAACGGCCCCGTCCTGCACCTCCAGACTGGTCACATATGCGTGGCATCATCAGCAGTGATGGCGAGAGTAACTGAGCTCCACCCCTCCCAGGAGGGACCCTTGACACAAATACAAAGCATACATATCACCCTGTGTCTGCAGAGCAGAAGCAGCTTTCTTCAGAGAAGACTGCAGCCCCCAAGGACATAAGCTGTTGGGATGCTACTTCGCAGCTTCACCCTCTCCATTTAAGGTGTTTATTTTTTAAGACTCAATAAAAGGAGTGTTTATAGTCACCTCATCAAATCTGGTCCCCCATTCTCACCTCCTGTATTTCGGGCCAGAAAACTTGATTAGTAGCTACTGCCTCCACCCCCCACTCCCTTGGCCTGGTTGCCTTTAATTTCCACCAGGTTCCTAAAGTCCCTGCCTCCCGACCCTGTCATCCAGCAGCCACCAGACTCTATTGGAGAAGGGTGTGTGGCTCCTCTGCTTTTAGCCCAGTCTGATAACCTAATGCCCATTTAGGAGGGGAGTAGGATGACTTGAGGGCAGCTGGTGCTTAAGCCTTCCCCCTTCTGGAAACAGCCACTTTGTCCAGGGGCCGTTAGCCTCGAAGGGTTGGGGAAAAGCCTAGACATCCTGGGCCAGTCCGAGCCCTCCAGGCCTCTTGCTACAGGCCCAGTCTCTGCAGTCATATCAAGTCTCCACTGGACTCTTGGCTGCTGAGGCTTGCAGGAAGATGTGAGCATGGAGCTGCCCGGGATCTGTGTAGGAGGCAAACCTTCTATGAATCTTTGAAGCCAAAGCAAAGAAAACAGGAATTACAGGTCAAGGGATTGAAGACCTTTGATAGCTGAGATCTGGTCATACCTGAAGTCATTAAAATCACTGAAGTGTTTAGATACACAGCCCAATAAATTCTCTTTTTTAAACATAAGCAGTACTATTCACCAGCCACTGAGCAGTCCTTCACGCACACCGTAGACAGAAAGGTAAGTCTTGAAGTCTGTTAGAATAACCAACAGTTTATTAAAAGCTAGCCTGGGGCTCTGTGCCAGCCCCACAGCTGAGAGGGGCTCCCACGACTGCCCCCAGGCCCGGGAGCAGCCCCTTCCAAGGTCCTTCCCTTGTTCCCCCGCCCCAGCCCTGATCCCAATTAAAAAAAAGATAAAGGACAAGACGGCACAGGACGTCAGACAGCAACAGGGGAATGGGGAGACCCAGGCATCCTGACCCCAAGACCCCATCCTGATCCTTTTTGCCAGTAAGGTGCCTCTCATTCTCCCCGCCTCAGGCCCCAGACCTGCTCTGCCCTACGGCAGGTCTGAGGGCCCCACTGTGAGGGTAGCATAGTTCTCTGAATATAATATATCTAGACCCACCCTTCCCCTCCCCCAGGGGACTAGATGAATATTTGACACAAACATCTCCCTCCTTTCCCAGGAGGTGGCGGAGGGAGACCCTGGCACCATGGTGGGGAGGCGGGGCTCCCGGGCAACCTTGGGGCACCTATGCCCAAGCTGGCCCTGGGCCACTGGCTAGCCCCAAGAAGCTCATGAGATGAGATCTGAGGGGAGCTGGAGCCAACATCCTGTCCCCTACCCTTGCTTGGGCCTCCAGCTCAGTGCCCTCCAGGGTCAGGCTCCACCCACCCCTGCCCTGCCCATTTAGGAAGGGAGTAGAATGACTCCCTGCTCCTCCCCGCTGCACTTCAGGAATAGAAGTGGGAAGAACCATTGAGGATGTGGGAAGCAACACTGGTGCTGCGGCTCAGGGGCCCAGGCACTGCAGCAGCAGGAGGCCCCACGTTCTCACTGCCACTGCCCCCCCGAAGCTGCCCGCCGCAGGGGCTGGGGGCTGTTTCTTAGCAGCAGCAGAGCTCCGCCTCGGGGTGTCCCGCTCTGTGTGGGGGGTCCCAGCCAGTTTGGGGGCCCTGGGGGAGCTAGTAGAGACGGCTGGCGCCAGGCTGGAGGGGGCATGCCTGGTGGAGGAGGGCCGTGGCTCCAGTGTGCCCCCGAACGGGGAACGGGTCGGGAGGGCCAGGCAGGAGCAGGGGGTGGAGCGGGATAGCCCTGGGCAGCAGCCTCAGCTGGGATGCCCCCCAGAGCCATGCTGGAGAAGCCCAGCCTCATGCTTTCAGCATCGAAGGCCTCTATCTCCCGGGCCTGCCGCTCCAGCAGACTCCGGATTCGCTCGGAGCGCCCTGTCTGCAGGGCCAGCAGCTCCTCTTCCACCTGGGGCACCCAGAACAAAGGTTAGAGAGTCGGGTGGGGGGCAGGGGGGCAGGAGCCTACCCTCCATCCCGGGTCCTGGAGGCTGGGCCCTTTACCCGCTGCTCCAGCAGAGCCCGCCGCAGCGCGACCCTCTGCTCCAGCTCCCGCAGCTCCCTCTCGTGCTGGCTCTCTGTGCGGATCTTAATCTTGCTCTGGTAAGCATTGAGCAGCTCCAGCTCCTGTTGAAGCTGCTGCCGAAGGGCCTGGAACTCTGCCTCCTGGGTCTCATCAAGCCGCAGCTGGAGGAGACAAAGAACCAGTTGTAGGGATCTCCTCCCCAACCCCCACTATCCTCCCCTGCCCCAGGTAGGCCTGGGCCCTAAGGTTTCAAGAAGCAGCGGTCTCAACATCTATCAGAATGGAAGATGGTCATACCCTGTGGCACAGCAATTACACTGCAGAATCTATCCCCCAGGTATACTTGCACATGTGTTCGAGGTGTTCACGGAAGCGTTGTGATAGCAAAATACTGGAAACAACCTAAATGTCCACCAATAAGGGATGGGTTAAATAAATTATGGTACAGCCATACTATGGAAAATTCTATGCTGTAAAAAAAATGAGATGGGTGTACTGACAGGGGAGGATGTCCAAGAAGTATTAAGTGGAAAAAGGAAGTTAGAGAATAGTAAATGTACAGTATGATTCCATCTTGTCTAAAATTCATATGTTTTCAAAATGTGCACTGAAAAAACACAGAATACAGTTAATTATTAACAAGTTACCTGTGAGAAGTGGGACTAGGTGAGTGAACAGCCTTAGGTGGGGCGTTTCCACTCTCTACTCTCTATGTACATTATTTTTTTAAAGTGGCCCACTCCATTGTTAGGTGTGGTCATTTTTTTAGAACAGCAACTTTCAAAATCCTCCAGAAGTCTGAGTAAATGGGCTTGAGGGCAAGACACTTTAATCTGCACCCTGTTTACCCATTAAACTAACTCGGGCCCAGGAAAAAATAATAGCCACTCTTTTCCTTCGTGGTTCTTGGGAGAGTAGGCACATGGCTTTGTCAAGACCTTAAGAAAATGCTAAGAGAAAGAATAAAACCATTGAGGAGAATATGAAATAATCAAATCACCGTGGAGAACACTAACCAAGAAAGAGTATGTGAGTTTCCCAAGTAAAAAAGCCTTAGCTCTGTGCATGCCCCACACCGTCTACTTCGCTAAAGCAAAGTACAGAGCCCAGCCTCTACCACGCACCCTCCCTGGGCCCCAGGCCTCACCGCCTGCGAGCTGAGCATCTCTGAGATGGACTGGTCATATTGCTCGGCCAAGATCGCCAGCTTGCGGGTCTGCTCTTCCTTGAGCCGCTTAAGGAGGCTCTTGTGCTGAGCTTTGGGCGTGGTCTCCAGCAAGTGTGCTCGCAGAGCCTTGTACTGCCGAGTCTGGATCTTACACGTCTCCTGGAACTGCTTCTTGATCTGCAGCTCCTTAGACTATGCAGTGGACGGATCAAGGGGAGATGGGGGCAGGGGGAGGAGTAGGAAAAGGAGGAGGAGGAACAACCAGGGGAAACGGGGAGAAGAGAGAGAAGAGGAGAGGAGACAGAAGCAGAGACAGGGAGAGGGAGAGAAACAGAAAACATGTTAGACAGAGGGGGTGGGGGGAGCTGTATACAGACAGACATGGAGAGGTGGGTTCATGTTGAAGAGAGAGAGATCAGGAAGGTCTCGATGGGCAAGAGATGCAAAGAAGACAAGTTTTCAAGAGCACGTGCATGGAGTTGGGTGGGATACCCACGAGAAAGAACATCAGTTACTGGACAGGGAATTGAGGATCGTGGAAGCTCTGACCGGGCAAAGAGGGAGAGATTGTGACCTAGAGACAGAAGCACGTGAGCAAATATGAGAACGTGCACAATAACAAGCAAGAAGAACCAGTCACACAAAACACCCATGAAGAAAGCAACACAACTAAGGACAGACACAGGAAGTCCCAGGTCCAGCACCTCAGGGAGGAAGGCAGGGAAGGAGGAGAAGCACCGAGCTAGAAAGGGGTAAGAAGGGGCTGCCCCATTTTGGGCCACAGAAAAGAAGGGGGCAAAGGAGGTGGCCAAAAAGGGCCTGACAAGTTCAACCGGCCAGGAGCTGCCACCCTGACCAGATCCGCATTCCAACCCAGCCCCTCACATACTCACTCCCACTTCAGGCCCACAATGGATCCTGCTGCCACGGCCCCCATACTCCGCCTGGTTGCCCCCAGCTCAGCACCCCCTACTATGGAGGGCCCCCAACCCATTAGGGTAATGCCTGATGCAGGAGAGCAATTTGGCCCCCAGCAGCCGGGAACCACGGAGGGAACGAGTTGGGAGAAAAGGCAAGGGATGAGGAGACCAAGGGCCTGGAAACTAAGGGCTCTGGAAGGAACCCACAAACAGGGGCTCTGTGGGATCAAGAAGTTCAGTGAAGTTCTACAGGGGCCTGGGGCCCAGGCCCCAGAGCCGGTGGCGGTCATGGTACAATGAAGCTATGAAGGCATAGAGCATGAGGCTGAGGAGAGGGGCTGAGATAACGGAGGCGGGGTGAAGAGGTCATGGAGCCGGGCCAAGGGTCAGCCTGGGGGCATACCGGGGAGGCTAGGCGGCAGGACAAAGCAGACAGAGGCAGCCTGGGCCAAAGGCACAGTTCCGCTCAGATATTTTATTTGTGTTTGTCTTTTTCGTTTTTTGGTGGGGGGGAAGGGGACAGGTTGGAAGGGAGACAGAAAAACAAAATCAAAGAGGAGAAAAAAAACATGACTCTTCCCACCCTCCGCCACCCCTGGCCCCAGGCCTGAGTCAATGAGGGTGAGGATGAGCACACACAGCGGGAGAGCAGCAATAACTTAGGGGAGGAGTGCCAGGAGAGCACAGAGTGACTGCTGGACTCCACAGCGGAGGAGGCTGCCTGTCTAGAGGTCCGAAGGGCTGGGCCTGGGGTGAGGGAGCAAACTGAGGAAGGTGGGTGAAAGGAGAGGACTGGGGACTGGAGAAACTTCACTGGATTGTGGGAAATAAAGTGCTCAATGCTCTAGATTTGGGCTGG